ACACTGGCTGCTCTTCCAGAAGTCCTTGAGCGGGGGAGATAACAAGAAGGGGGCTGGAGAGATGGCTCAGTGGTTAGGAACACTGGCTGCTCTTCCAGAGGACCTGGGGGGGGGGGGGTAACAAGGAGGGGGATGAAGAGATGGCTCAGCGGTTAAGAGTGCATATTGCTTTTTACAGAAAACCAGTAACTCCAGCATCCCAGTGTACACTTGTCAACTTGACACAAGCCAGGGGCATCTCTAACGAGGGAAGGAATGATAATTGCATCCACCAGATTGGCTCATACTCAAGTATGTGGGACATTTTCTTGATCAGTGATTGATGTGGGAGGGTCCAGCCCACTATGGGTGATATCACCCCTGGGCAGGTGATCCTGGGATGTATAAGCAAGCAAGCTGATCAAGCCATGGGGAACAAACCAGTAATTATTCCTCCATGGCCTCTGCTTCAGTTCCTGTCACCAGGTTCCTGCCCTGACTTATTTAATGGACTACAACTGTAAGCTCAGATAAACTCTTGGCTCACATTACTTTTGCTCATGGTGTTTATTATGGCAATAGAACCCTAACTAGGCCAGGAGATCCTTTCTCAGGTGTGAGGGTACCAGCACTCATGTGCATATACTCACACACACACCTTAGTCACACATATTCACAAAATCAAACTTTAATAAGAAAGGAGCCAGAGAGATCACTGGTTAGCACAACTTGCTGTTCAAGAGGATCCAGACTCAATTCCCAGCACCTACATGGCAGCTCGCAACTGTCTGTACTCCAGTTCTAGAGGTTCTGATGCTGTCCTCTGATCTCTGTGAGCACAAGGCATGCACTGAAGCCAGACTGTATCTGGGAATGTGGGTGAGACACCTGGCAACATTTTTAGTTACTGCTATATCCTGGGGACACAGAGATGACAATTTGCTGCTCCTTAATGAGGAAGCAGAATAATTTATTATTGAACTACACCAAGTTCAGAGGTAGGCAGAGGAATAGTATGAAAACTTCACAAGAGGGGTCAGACTGGGCATCTGAGAGATTAATAGGTTTGCTATCGCTCAGGGGTTTTGTTCAATGGTCCAGTGCCTGTTTGTTGTACAAAAGGCCCTGAGATTAATCTTTAGCACTACCGTTTTTTGTTTGTTTTTTTTTTGTTTTTTGGTTTTTTTTTTTTTTTTTTTTTTGGTTTTTCGAGACAGGGTTTCTCTGTGTAGCTTTGCGCCTGTCCTGGAACTCACTTGGTAGCCCAGGCTGGCCTCGAACTCACAGAGATCCGCCTGGCTCTGCCTCCCGAGTGCTGGGATTAAAGGCGTGCGCCACCACCGCTCGGCCCCGTTTTTTGTTTTAAAGTGTGCTTGTACCATATAGGGATGAAACAGTCACTTGAACTTGGTAACTGCCTGTGGAATTGGTAGGGAAAAGTCTATGAATCTGTAATGTAGAAGACGATAGACCTTGCAGAAGTGAATTCTCAGGAACTATTTACTGAATTTATTTGGCATACATACAACTCAGTGTAGGAGAGCAAGGGAAACTCAGTTCCAACCCACTTTGTACGAATCTGCCTTCTCCACATCCATTCCTTCTCCCAGTAAGAAAACCGATTCTCCTTGGGGAGTTAGTCTTCCTCACTCTGTCCATTTGTGGTCGAGTCAATTTTCTTCCAGTTCCAGTGGGCAAATGAGTGGCAAATCAAAGCTTTCCAACATCCCTGCTACTCCAGGAAAGTGACTGGTTTGAGTTGAGGGGAGGGGGAGTTAGTGACCTAAGTCAGGTAAAATAAGATATTTTCATAGTATATATGTTATAACTATCAAGAAAGAAACTTGAGGACTGGAGAGATGGCTCAGTGGTTAAGAGCACTGGTTGCTCTTCCAGAGGTCCTGAGTTCAATTCCCAGCAACCACATGGTAGCTCAGAACCATTTGCAGTGGGATCTGATGCCCTCTTCTGTCATGAAGATGTACAGGAAGACAGAACACTCCCACACATAAATAAATAAATAAATCTTTAAAAAAAAAGAGAGAGAAAGAAACTTGAGACATCCCTCCTTGTGATCACTGATCAAAGTGAAGGCTTTGAAGAAATGTTACCTGCAGCCACCGCAGCTCCCAATTGATTTGGTCTACTGTAAAGAAAATTTAGAACTGATTTTCAACACAAGAACGTTCAGGGGGTTTCTCACGTTCATGTTCTAATCTCTTGGACCATTTTCATTCTATGTATACATTAGCCCTCATACTTCAAGGCCACTATTTTCTTGTCAAACTCTTCACATTTTATATTTGTTACAGAGATAATAAAGCAAGCCACTGAGAAGCCCACACCCTTTGTGTGTGTGTGTGTGTGTGGCCCTGGAGGGCCTCCCTGGAACTGCTATGTAGACTAGGCTGACCTCCAACCTCAGAAATCCACCTGCCCCTGCTGAGATTAAAAGTATGTGCCACCAAACACTGAGATAAAACAAAGTCCCTGGTTTTTTTGTTGTTTTCTTTTTTTTTTTTTCCCCCCGAGACAGGGTTTCTCTGTGTAACAGTCCTGGCTGTCCTGGAACTCACTTTGTAGATCAGACTGGCCTTGAACTCATTGAGATCCACCTGCCTCTGCCTCCTGAGTGCTGGGATTAAAGGCATGTGCCAGCACTGCCCCGAACCTCTTATTGTTTTGACATGCCTGTACTCTGAAGTGGGAAGGTGGAACAGCACAAAGAGAGTTAGGCTTTGTCCCAGAAGTCTCCACTCGGCTTGAGAACAATTGTGATTTCTTTTATCAACTTGACACACAGTCTGGACTAACTGGGGAACAGTCTTAATGAGGCATTTTCTAGATCAGGTTGGCCTGTAGTGATTCTATTAATTATGTTAACTAAAGTGGGAGGACTCATCTCCTGGGTTTGTGGCCCTGGACTGAAGAGCGTGAACATCCATGCTCTCTGCTCTTGACTGTGGCTATGATCAGCTGCTTTAGCTTCCTGATGCCTTGACTTCCCAATGGTCTGCAATCTGAACTGTGAGATAAAACAGACCCGTTCCCTCCCAAATTGCTTGTCAGGATATTTTATTATAGCAATGGAAAACAAAAGACAGTAATTGAAGCTAGAAAAACTAAGGATGCTACAAGGAATTTTAGTTTGAGTCCATGTCTTCCAACCTAATTGGAAAATCAGGATTAATCCTAGTCACTCTTGTGAGTTTTTATTAGAAATGGGATGGCTGTCATCAAGCAGATTTTCGCCCCCTAGTTTGGTCCCTCTGTATTAACTCCCTTCAGAACAGCCTTACTTCCCCGCCATGAACATCCCACCAGAGGGAGCCACATACAAAGAAACAGTTCACGAAGCAGGAGGGAAGAAAAACAGGAGCTCTGACCTAAGTGCTGTTTTGCTTCCTTCTCAGACACATGCTGGCTGAGAAGGGGCTGGGGAATACTGCACACGTTAGTGTGACAACCAGGAAGATATAAGGTGTAAAAGCTATGTGTGTGTGTGGGGGGGTAGATTGTATCTTAGACCCAACACCCATGAACTCTGCTTCTAAATTACTAGGCACAATCCTGTGCCACCCAAACAGTCTAGCTAGAACTGAGACCCTCAGAGAAAGGAGCTCGGGACAGGTATGGTGGTGCATATCTTTGATCCCAGCACTTGAGGACAGGTATGGTGGTGCATATCTTTGATCCCAGCACTTGAGATGCAAAGGCAGGCAGATCTCTGAGGGCTACATAGGGAGACTGGGTCTCAAAATAATAAAGATTATTATTAGTAAGTAAAGAGCTGGAGCCAGAGCCAGGATTCAAAGGCAGCCTGAAGTAACCCTGTCTCAACACACACACACACACACACACACACACACACACACACACACACACACACACACACACACACACACACCCCGAGGTTACTATGTGAAGGGAAGAGAAAAAAGGTCATTGTGTGGGAGCAGTATCCATGAGGCATTAAGATTCCAGCCTCTAGATTAGAAAGGGAAATGGGGACAGGTGTGTCAGTGCATGCCTGCAATCACAGCCCTCTGGAGGCGGAGTTTGAAGCCAGATTGGACCACAGAGAGACCTCAGCCTCCCTTCCCCACCAACAAATCAAAAAGCAGCAATGGGGCCTAGTTTCTCCACTCATAATTTACTAGCAAAACACACCATTAGACTTAGAATACTTTTTATTTTCAACTTACCTCCACTAAGACATACGATGATCTCCCACCCCCAGAAATGTCAAAACAGAGGCCAGGAAAATTCAACTTACCAAAGCTCAAACAGCATCCAAGACCAGAGAAGGGCCTGGAAGCAATGGAACTACTGAAGGACTCAAGAAAGGAAAGCATACAGGCAGAGCAAGAGCCTTCAGAGCCTAGTCCTGCCTCCACACTCCCACCCCAGTCCCTTGAGAGTCCATCACCCTGGCAACAGCTAGAGAAAGGCCCTTCTAAAATATTTATGGCTCAGAGCATCCAGAGGCTTGGGGAAAGCTGATGTCATCCTTCTCAGCTTGCAGGTGACTGACAAGCATGGCAGCTGGGTGGGTGGGCCAAACATCCTAAGTCAGAGCTCTCAAAAGAAAGATCCCTAGGGCTCTAAGTGGTAACGGGAGAAAGGTGGAAGCTGCCAGACAGGGCTTTTAAGAACAAGCCTGGAAGAAAGGACGACAGACACTTCAATGCTGAGCAGTATTCTGCATAGACTCAGTACTGGGCATTTAAAATAAGTACATTTCTTTCTCAGGTTCCATTAAGAAGGGAGGAATGACTTATGGAATGAACAGGCCTGATGAGCTGGTTTGAATCTAGATGTTTGACTTCAATTGTAAATTTTCCTGTAAAATTCCCTGACTCCAAGTGGCTATCTGGTACCTTGAGATTGTGTTTGACCTGCCAATCTCTCAAAAGAAAACTTTAGGACCAAACGTTTGCCCAGTACAGCTGGGGGTGGGTGGGTGGGTTGGCTCTCTCCCAAGCTGATAGAAGCTATACAGTAGAACCAGTCACCATTCATCACGTGACCAAACCTTTATTGAACCCCTCATGCAGGGGCAGATACTTGAGAAATGTGATACAGGTGAAGCAGCAACAGCCCCATCCTTCAAGAACTTTTTGGACAAGTACTGACAACAAAGATGAAAACAGGCTCAGAATCTGAATTAACTTTCCCTTAAGTTGATTTGACTTGACTTTCCTTAGCATGTTACAGAGGAGCTCATCTTTCCTGGGAGTCCTCTGGAAATAGCCTAAGGGCTCTCAGGCTGAAGATTCCCAAGAGAGGTGTGGCAGGGTAGGGGCACAGGTAGTAGTAGGATGTTCTAGTACATTCTATGGAAGCTAAGGGGAAACAAGAGGTTGACAATGGCACCAGAGTGGAGTGTATGCTGACCTGGAGAGCTACCTCAGGGATGTAGTCCCTTCCCTCACTCCCCCTTCTCCAGACAGCGTTTCTCCGTGTAGTCCTGGATATCCTAGAACTTGTTCTGCAGACAAGGCCCACCTAGAACTCAGGGATCTGCCTGCCTCTACCTCCTGAGTTTGGGAATTAAGGGTGTGTGCACCATGCCCAGCTCCCTCTCAATTCTTTTTTTTTTTTTTTTTTTTTGGTTTTTGGAGACAGGGTTTCTCTGTGTAGCTTTGCGCCTTTCCTGGAACTCGCTTTGGAGACCAGGCTGGCCTCGAACTCACAGAGATCCGCCTGGCTCTGCCTCCCGAGTGCTGGGATTAAAGGCGTGCGCCACCACCGCCCGGCTTCCCTCTCAATTCTTTAAAAGCCATTTAAAGATGTCTTTTGTTTGTTTTGGAAAAGTGATGGAAAAGGAGCCCAGGTCTTCCATATGTGCTAATGAAATGCTCAACCACTGAGTTAAAGCCTCAGCCCCTCCTACTAAAATGTTCTGAGTAGGTGGAACTGTTAGCAATGAGTCTCCTAAGATCCTGGCTGGCTTTCTGTGGGTAAATCAGATCAAGAGATAGGGTGACACAGAATTGTTGATCTCCTCTCTTGGGTTTCTATGTTTCAGCAAATGCCCCAGGCCAGCCTCTATACAGCAGGTAGCTCCTGGTATTCAGGGTCCTCTGACAGCTGCAAAGACACAAAGTGGAAAATTAAGAACCATGAGGCTGACAAGGGCTTCTCAGCCTTCATCTGGTCTGGCTTCGTCCCTTACAACCTTCCCTTTCCACAGCTCGACTCCACTTGTTGCATTCAGCAGGCAGGTTGACAGGTACAGACGGGCAAAAGACAAAAGCACACAGCCCTGTGAGCTCTTTTTTTTTTTAAAAGATTTATTTATTTACTATGTATACACTTTTCTGCCTGCATGTATGCCTGCAGGCCAGAAGAGGGCACCAGATCTCATTACAGGTGGTTGTGAGCCACCATGTGGGTGCTGGGAATTGAACTCAGGACCTCTGGCAGAGCAGCCAGTGCTCTCAACTGTTGAGCCATCGCTCCAGCCCCCCTGTGAGCTCTTTTTAAGACTTATCTATTTAATTCTGAATGTTTTGTCTGCACGTACATTTGCACATCAGAAGAGGGCGTCAGATTCCATGGGACTACAGTTATAGGTAGTTCTGAGTCACCATGTGGGTACTGAGAACTGAACTCAGGACCTCTGCAAGAGCAGCCAGTGCTTTTAACCAGTGAGGCATCCCCCCAGCCAGTTAGGTAATGTCTTAAATCCACTGATCCTTGAATATGACTGAGCAGAGTAATCTGGGGAATAATGAACTAAAACCACTGAAACCTTAACTTTGCTTTTATGTTTTTTTGTTTTGTTTTGTTTTTCCGAGACAGGGTTTCTCTGTATAGCTTTGGCACCTGTCCTGGATCTTGCTCTGTAGACCAGGCTGGCCTTGAACTCACAGAGATCCACCTGGCTCTGCCTCTGCCTCCTGAGTACTGGGATTAAAAGTGTGCGCCACCACCAACCAGCCACTTTCGGGTTTTATTTGTTTGTTTGAGACAGTCTCACTTTATAGGCCCAACTGGGACCTCATTCCACTATGCAGTTTTTATTTATATATTTACCTATTTACTTACTTATTTGAGAAAGTATCTCACTATATAGTCCCAACTGGGACCTCACTATGTATTACAGGTTTGGCCTTGAAATCAGAGATATGTCTGTTTCTACCTCCATAGTGCTGAGATTTAAGGCATGTTCCATCACACTCCAAAATTTATAGCTTTCTAAATAGGAAAATTCTTTGGTTTTCCCAGACATGAAAAAGTTTGAGTTTTAAAAACTCTTGGAAGAAAAGGAGAAAGTTTGATTTTAGGTCCAAGGGTCCATCTTATCTGACCTTATAAAGGAGTTCATCCCTGACCCTCAAACCCAGGGTCATCCAGAAGACACATCTTATCCCTAGACACCGGGACCTAACGTGATGAAAAAGCCCTCAGAAGTGATTCCATTTTTGGAAAGATTTTTAAAAACGTGTATGTATGAGGGTGCACGTGCTCCCGAGTGCAGGTGCTTTTGGAGGGCAGAGGCATTGAATCTCCCAGAATTACAGTTATAGGTGGTTGTGAGTTGGTGGACACAAGTGCTGGAAACCAAAGCTGGATCTACCTCTCCAGCCCAGCTGACACGGCCTTTTGTCTTTTCCCTTTTTTGGGGAGGGGGGGACAGGCTTTCTCTGTGTAGTCTGGGCTGAACTACTCTGTAGATCAGACTGGCCTTGAACTCAGAGCCCCACTTGCCTCTGCCTCCCGAGTCCTGTGATTATGCACCACCACCGCCTGGCTCCTGCCTCTTCTAAATGACACTGCTTCCCACACCTACCGTTCTTTCAGCCCATAATCTCTCTCCCTCTCCCTTTTTTGTCTCATTACATTATAGCCCTGATAGAAATCAAATGCAGAGATCCTCCTGACTTAAAGGCCTGCTCTACCTTCCATGTCTGGCTTCAGCCCAAAAAAACTTAGTGTATCTCTTTTCTCCCATTTCTGGCCAGTCACTAAATCGTGTTCTAAGAGCTTTTGTATCCACCTAGTTCTCTACATTTTTCACTTAAAGTTTTTTTTTTATGTATATGTGTACTTCTGTGCCAGGGTGCAAGCAGGCCACAGGAGAGCATAAAATTCCCCGAAGCTGAAGCTACAGGTAGCTGTGAGCTACTAATCTGGATGCTGGGAACCAAACTGGGTCCTCTGAAAAAAACATCAAGCTCTCTGAAACCTTTTAACCACCTAGCTATCTTTCCAGCTCCAGCTTTCATTTTCAGTTATACCGCTCTAGAACAGGCTGGATGACGATGGGCACTGGGGAATCAATCTCAAGACCTGGCGTATATACTACACAAATGCTCCACCTTGCTTTAAGATACACTCTCTTGCTGAGACCTGGGCGAGCTTGGCTGGGCACCAAGTCTCAAGGATCTGCCCATGTCAGTTTCCCTGGCATTGGGATTATACATGCACACTATCACATGGGTAAATGGATCACTCTTTTCTAGTGCCCCCTACCCTTTTTAAAAAATAGGTTGGTTATATGCTTGTACATACCTTTAATTCCAGCAACCAGGAGGCAGACAGAAGGATCGGAGTTCAAAACCAGCCTGGTCTATACAGCTAATCTCAGGACAGCCGGGGATACGTAGCGAGACCCTCTTTTCAACTAAAAAATAAAATAGGTTGGGCCAACAAGCTCAGTGCATGAAGGGGCTGGCTGCTCAATATTGCAAGTCTGGCAACTGGAGTATACAGTCTCTAGAACCCACATAAAGTAGGAGAGGACAAACTCCACAGAGCTGTCCTCTGACCTCCACACATGTGGAGGTATGGCTGCCTAGAAACATATAGTATTGGATACTACATCTACACTACTGAGTAACATCCCAGCCCCTCTGCAGACCTCACTCACTTTTGGTCTGGACTAACAAGGCTCCCAAACAGGTTTCCATATATGAACAAGTTTTAAAATCAGAAACATGATTGGGTGTGGCTCTGTAGAAGGGTTTGCATAGTATACATAAGCCCGCAGAATAGTGTAAACGGCACATTCATATAAAGTCTGGATTCCCACCTGACCTGTCTTAGTCTTACCTTCTGCTTAGTTCAGTGTTCCATAGCCTTTCCCCAACCCATCTCCCAAGCCCCAGGGCTCAGCCAAGTATTCTTCTTCTTCTTTTTTTTTTTGGTTTTTCAAGACAGGGTTTCTCTGTGTAGCTTTGCGCCTTTTCCTGGAACTTGCTTTGGAGACCAGGCTGGCCTCGAACTCACAAAGATCCGCCTGCCTCTGCCTCCCGAGTGCTGGGATTAAAGGCGTACGCCACCACCACCCGGCTCCAAGTATTCTTTTAGGTGGCAACTGTCCTTTAAAGAAAATCCAGGTAGGATATACTCTCAATGGACTGGTTTTCCTTTTAGAACTTAGCACAATATAAATTATTGCTATTTGAGTAATATAGATACATTAAAGAAAAGGTGAAGGAACTCCCCAGAGTGAAGAGTTCTAAGAAAGGACACGCCACAATTTGAAATTATGCCGTTAATGAGTTTTCTGTGTAGTGTTCACATCTCAAAATAGTCTGTAAGGTCCATGAAGTGAGGGACTTAGGTTTACTACTGATCACTCAATCTCCCATGACTACCACACAGTAGGTGTTTTAATTTGTAAGTCAATATATATATAAAGAATTAAAAGGACCATTTGTACCAATTTCTAGAAAGAAGTTTATTAATAATCCTATTAGGGCAAGGCAGTGATTGTGCAGGCCTTTAATCAGAGCACTCGGGAAGGAGAGACAGGAGGAACTCTATGGGTTTCAGGTCAGCTTAGTCTACAAAGTGAGTTCCAGGACAGACAGCCACAGCTACACAGAGAAACCTTGTCTCAAAAAACAGACAGACAATAAAAGAATCTTATCAGGGACTAGCGATGTGGCTGTTGGCAGAATACTTACATAATATATACAAAGCCTTAGTTTCAATTGTGTGAAAACTATGGCTTGGTGGCATATATCTGTAATCTTAGCACTCAGAGGTGGGGGCAGGAGGATCAAAAGCTTAGCGTCGTCCATACTACAGTTGAGTTCAAGGTCAGCCTATGCTTCACAAGAGTGTTTAATAAAAATAAAACCAAGAAAGGTCCTATCAAAGTACAGGGTAGTTTTCCTCTATTTCCCTTTCTCTCAGTGCTAGAATGGAGCCCAGGGCCTTACACATCCTACCCAGTACCACTGAGCTATACTCTTCGCCCCCATTTCTTTCTCAAAGGCAAGTATGTTGTCTCCAACAATCCAACTTCAAAGAACTGGGAGATGGGACAAGGTCAACTTCCATCTAAACTGCTGGAGTCTGAAGATCCTAGAGAACTTGCCCTACATCTGACTCCAAACCTGTCTGTTTCAAGTCTCACATAACCAGAGTATCTGCGGTAGAGTGGGCACACCCTAGTTGACAAGGCCAACCCCAAAGGCTGATAAAGGGGCAGGCAATACGGAAATCTTAATACAGTTCTGAATTTCAGTCACACCCCAGTTTCTGTCTTATGCCCCATCTAATGACTCAACTTGTTTGAGAGCCTGTGCCTCACTGTCCAGAAACAGCTAGAAGGGTCTGACTCTGCAGAAGAGCCACACCTCACCCAGGGCCTTCTTGAAACAGGAGCTCCTTAAATCTAGGTGGAGGCAGGGCCTGCTGTATAGCATGAGAACTCTACCTGTCCACATCCTGTTTGGGGTGCCTTCACTACCGCACTGGCCGGGAATGGTAAGGGTAAGATGCTGCACCTATGGTCAAGAAATGCCAAACAGAGGGCTGGAGAGATGGCTCAGTGGTTAAAAGCACTGGCTGCTTTTCCAGAGGACCAAGGTTTAATTCCCAGCATCTACATGGTGGCTCACAACCATCTGTAAACTTGTCCTGCCAATCCCAGGATATTCAAGACCCTTTTTTGACCTCCACAGACACCAGACTGCCGTACTTGGTGCACAGGCCTACATGCATGTAAAACACAAATACACAGAAAATAAACCTATTTAAAAAAAAAAAAAAAAAGGCTGGGCATGGTGGCATGTGTCTTTAACTCCAGCAGCTGGGAGGCAGAGGCAGGTGATTTCTGTAAGTTTAAGGCCCGCCTGTGATACACAGAGAGACCCTATCACAAAAGCACAAACAAAAACCAGGAAGAATAACAGAAAAAGGAAGGGCAAGAAGCTAAGGCTATGGAATTTTTCAGGGGAAATTTGTTTAAAACAAGGTCTCATTCTGCATCCTAGGCAGAACATAAACTATGTTTGATATCTACCTCGAGTGCTAGGATCACAGGCATGTACCACCATGCTTGGGTATTTACTTATGGAGTCCATGTACAATATACATTCTTCCTACCCATGAAATTCAAGTCCCTGCCAGACCCAAGTCTCTAGACAGGGTCTTGCTTTTATCTCCTGCTTCTGTCTGCTGAGGTGCTAGGGATTAGAGCTGTGAGACAACACACAAAGCCTTTCTCCTGTAGGAGAGATGCAGTTAGTACAGTACCAGATGAGAATGTATACTTGACCCTAAATATTAAAACAAGAAAGACATCAGCCTAGGGTATGGAAAATGGTTAGTTGCCTCGACTGATCCAGGGTGCAGTGATCACCACCATAAAACTTTGTTGCTAAAGGGCCTAGAAAGACAGGCCCTTCTCTAGGCCTGGAAACAAAAGAATGGGTAATTAGGCAGTGTAGTGCACTTCCTCCCCTCCCCCCAACAGCTGCTGTCTCACACAGCTGTTTCCAGCCTGTCTGTTAGATGCTATTAAATATTCATCAGATGTGTGCTAGCTTTAAACATGCAATGACTATTAATCTGGCATGCAAGAGTACTTGTGAGTCTACAGAGGCTGCAAATTTGTAAGAATTCCAATCTTTTAACTTCAGGATTCCAGAAGCAAAGTCAGAAGTGTGAATTCTAAACCCCAAGGCTAGGATCACCTTTCAGTGAACTGATTGATCTTGTGGCTACTCAAATTACAAGAGTTCAGCAGGCAACAGTTCCGAAGGAGCCTAAGGCCTGGGTTTGGATTTGAGCTCTTCAATGCTGCCATCCTGTAACCCACCATACACTCGAAGAATGCTCGACTAGCATACAGTGTGGCTTGCTATACACCAGCAGTAATCCTAGCCTCACATGGTCAATTGTGAGGACTAAATGGGACGTTGGCATGATACTCGCAGCAATACTCAGAATGGAGAACTTAAAATGGAGGCGGAGGCCGGGCCTAGTGGCACATGACTTTGATCTCACCACTGAGGAGGCATGGGCAGGTGGATCTGTGAGGCTAGCCTGGTCTACATAATGAGTTTCAGGACAGTCAGGGTTCCCCAGTGAGACCCAGTCTCAAAAAACCAAAATAATAATAACAACAACAATAATTAATGAGGCAGAAAACTCTTCTACTCAGGAGTTAGTTGAACAAAGCTTTGATTAATAGTCCCTAGAAAGTTTCTATTAGATGAGACTCAAGAATTCCAGTGCCAGATATAGTAGCACATACCTGTAAGCACTTGGGAGACAAAGGCAGGCAAATCTCTATGAATGAGGCCAGCCTAGTCTACTTAGTGAGTTCTAGGTCAATGTTAAATAGTAAAACCCCAGCTCAAAAAAAATAAAGATGGCCATCCCAACCTCCAGTCCTTAAAGAGTTGTATTTTTAGACAGGTGAGGATGTAGCTCAGTTCGGAGAGTACCTGCCTAGCATTAATGAGGCCCTGAGTTCAAGAACCAGCACCAAATACCTAGCACCTGGGAGTTGAAGTAGGAGAAGCAGAAGGTCAAGGTTAGCCTGGGATACATGAGAATAAGTTTGGCTTCCCATTCACAAGTAGTAAAAAGCACAGAACACTAGGAGACCATAAACATGGCCAAATGCAAACATCCCATCCTTACACAGCACAAATATCTGGTGAGAGAGAAATGGTTCTCCTTCCTGTAATACACGAACCAAAATGACTTCAGGCAAGAAAAACACAAGATGTGGGGAGAGGATCCATCCCTTTTACTCTCCAGCAAAAACATGGTAGCATTTTAAGGCTTCTCCTTTCCCCTTCCTTGCTAGCACAATTGTCAAACACAGGTGTGGTTCTAAAAACTCAGTCCTAAGACCTTAAACACTTTCTTAAATTTCAACTTTTCAAAATCAGCCTTAACATACTCTTGTATTTACAGCTAGTATTATCATCATCACAACTTAATGTGGTGCTAAGGATCAATGGCTTCATGTACACCAGTAATGCTGAGAAGTAAGCATCTATCAGCAAAATGGGGACTTGGACAGTAACTCAACTAGAGTTAAAACTGAAGACTTGCTTTGGAAATAGCAGAACTTAAAATCTGCCCTAACAAGGTATTATGTTTTCTGTCTTAACATGGCAAATACTTAGTCATCCTTTAATTAAGTTCGGTTCCCCCTCCCTCTGGCACTCCTGAGGCCTCTCAGCAGCTCCAGGTTTCCTAGTACTCTGTGTAGCAGCAGAATACCTTAACTATATAGGCCTTACCCTCTCCAGGCAGATGAGTTTCTTGAAGGCAGGGATGATAAAAGGATGAAGACCTGCGGCGGTGGTGGCGCACGCCTTTAATCCCAGCACTCGGGAGGCAGAGCCAGGCGGACCTCTGTGAGTTCGAGGCCATCCTGGGCTACCAAGTGAGTTCCAGGAAAGGCACAAAGCTACACAGAGAAACCCTGCCTCAAAAAACAAAAAAAACAAAAAAAAAAAAGAAAAGAAAAAAAGAGATGAAGACCCGTGATTCAGCACAGCAAGTGTAGAGGCACACATGCTTCAGCAAATATCTGTGATAATGTCCTGGCAGAGGAAGTCTCCATTCCAAAGGAATGATGATGGGTTCTCCAAAATAGCTTTATGTAGTGTATACTTCAGAATGATCACTCTGAAATCATACTGCCTGAAAAATCTCACCTGAGCTACATAACAGCTGTGTGACTCTGGCCATGTTGCTGCTATTTTCTGGGGTTGAAGTTTCATTATGTATAGAAAATTATGGAGCCAGTGGAACAGCTCAGTGGGTACAGGTGTCTGCAGTACAAGTCTGGTGACTGGAGTGCAATCCCATGACCCCATGTGAAGGTGGGGGACGAACCAACTCTACCAGTTGTCCTAAGGCCTCCATACACAGGTCTTGACACACCTAAGTTCTTTTTAAAAGATTTATTTATTATGTATACAACAGTAGAGATGCACACCAGACCTCATTACCGTGGTTGTAAGCCACAGGTGGGTGCTATTGAACTCAGAACCTTTGGAAGGAGTCAGTTCTCTTCATCGCAGAGCCATCTCTCCAGCCCCACACCTAAGTTATTAATGAGATGGGAAGACCAGCACAAACAGTGGAAACAAAGGCCTCACTATACGAAGTTACAGTTTTCTCTGAAGCTCCCCAACCACTTGATACATAGGGTTTTCCTGTGGAGCCCAGGCTGGCCTGGAACTCAAACCCGAGGGCTGACATTAGGCATGTGCCACCACTGCTTGGCTCTTTGCAGTTTTCTTTTTTTTTTTGGCTCTGTCCTGGCCCTGGCCCTGGCTCTGTAGACCAGGCTGGCCTCAGAGTCTTAGAGATCCTCCTGCCTGCCTCTGCCTTCCCAGCTTCTTGGCAGTTTTTTGGATATACATCTTTAACATGCAGCCTCTGAGAGGATAATAAATATGGTACAGAAGCAGGTACGCCAGAGAATGGGTTCCTGATATGTAGCAGTACTGGTATGCTGCACTCTCAACCTGCTTTAGAAGCAGTGTACTTACCTGACCTCTCCCACTATTGCTTGTAAAAAACCAAGTACACAGTAGGCATTTAAATTTGAGTTCTCCACAGGGCACGCCGTTAATCCCAGCACTTCGGAAACAGAGAAAGTGGGTCTCTAAATTTGAGACCAGCCAGGTCTACACAATGAGTTCCAGGACAAGCCAGGGCTACACAGAGAAACTGTCTCGGAAAAAAACAAAACAAAACAACTCTAGAACTTCTAGAGAGCTACTGCAACACGTTATCTTCTCCCTTAGACACACCTACTCTGCCTTTCTCACTTTCCCCACTTTCAACTTTAAAAAAAATCACAATTACTTATGTGTATGCACACACACCATGTGTACACAAGGAGGTGAGAGGACATCTTGCACGAATTTGTTCTCTCCTTCTACCATGTGGTTCCTGGGGATTAAAGTCATCAGGTTTGGCTGCATCCAGCCAGTGAGCCATCTGGACATTCACCTTCCCTTAATATAAAGTTAGGCTGGCCTAGAATTTGCGATCCTTCTGACTCAGCCTTCTAAGTGTGTGTGCCATCATGCCCAGCTCTAACTCCTACTGGTGGTACTGGGAGTCATACCTAGGGCACTTGACTGCTGACTACATCCCAGTTCATGGAAAGTGTGGTGAGCACATGAAGTACATAATATCAATGGTTTGAGGAGTCTTCTGGGCCTAACAGCCATGGCCATCATACTCAGAAGCAGCTGCAAACACTTCTGAGCACCCTCATCTCAGACCTATTGACAGTCATCCAGAAAAGGAGGGGTGGGAGGTAAGCAGATGCTCATCTGAGACCTCAGCCACTCCTTCCTGTGATTCCCTGTCAGCTATATTTAACTCTATCCCAGCTATTCCAATTGACATTGTATGGAAAGATTAAAAAAAAAAAAAAAAGAATTTTATGCAGCTGTGGGGAAGCTATTATCCATACTGGGTTCAGACTTTTTGGTAATAAGGATGGTTTGGGGTCAGTCACCCACAATACTGTAACTCTTCACACATATGTTGGAAATGAATTGTTTTGCAAGTTAGGCTTTGGTGGAACCAGTACTGTCACTAGTGCCCTATCTGGGTAGACATCTGTTCCCATCTGCTCAGGAAAAGTTCATGGAACCCAAGTGAAGGAGCATATTACCCCTGTATGCACCCCAATTCAGAAGTGTTCTTCAGACAAAGCCTTGTGTAAGGCAAACATCTAGTACCATGTCTATCTCCCACCAAATCCATTTGCTTGGCTCAGATACATTCTCCATTTCTATAGGAAAGAAAGTCGCTGCTCTTTTTGAATCAGAAAACGGACTGACTTGGCTTTATTGTTGGCAACCACAATGGCCCGGCAGTTACTGGGTACAGCCCCAAATTCTTTCTCACCTGGAGCAGTGGGTAACAATTGAGGGACCGAGTACAAAACTGAATAAACTCACTCTTTGGGTAATTGCTGCACCCCTAGACAAGGAAAGGTGTGTTCTTAGTATGATTTGTCATTGCCAAAAGTCCCTGTAAGCTCCATACAAATCATGTATGTAAACAGTAAAAGGGCATGTTGGAGTTAAGCATTTAATCTTCTAGAGAGCTACTACAACACAAGGCAGCTAGAACAGCTTCCTTACTTTAGCAGAATGTAGTGTATAGGACTTTATAATCACCAACCTAGCATTTAATAGCTCTCTTATGTAGAAACCCTCAGTGACACTAAAATAACCCAACCAGCTATTATTAACCAACTATTACTTTAGTACCTACTGTCAAAGGAAACACACACACACACACACACACACACACACACACACACACTTTTTTTTTTTTTTCAAGACAGGGTTTCTCTGTGCTGGGATTAAAGGCGTGCACCACTACCACCACTACCACCACCACCACTACCACCACCACCACCACCTGGCCCATATACTACTTTTTTGTTTTGTTTTGTTGAGACAGGGTTTCTCTGTGTAGCCCTGCCTGTTCTGGAACTCACTCTGTAGACAAGGCTGGCCTTGAACTCAAGATCTGCCTGCCTCTGCCTCCCAAGTACGGGAAAACCACACTTCCTGGCTTACATTACAATTATTTTTTAAGATTTTAATGTGTATGAGTGCTTTACCTATATACATACATGTGTACCATGTGCATTCCTGGTGCCTGTGGAGGTCAGAAGACTACCCTAGAGAGTAAAGTCTTAAAACTTTTAAGATTTTATACACAAATGTTTTGGCTGAATGTATGTATGCACTGCTTGTGATTCTGGCACCCATGGTGTCAAGAGAGACTCCGATCCCTTGGAAGTGGAGTTTTAGATGGCTGTGAACTACCATGTGGATGCTGGGAACCAGCACCAGACCAGGTCCTTCCTGAGCCACCTCTCTAGCCCTTCAATATTTAAATCAGGGATTCCTCATCTAAATTTCCTGGCCAGTCACATGACAAACTTCAAACTTACAACACCTTCAGGGTGCTCAGAACAACATTCCATACTTGTCGCCTCCAGATCTCATAAACTACTGGCACTGAGGTAGGGTTTGGAAGAAACAGCTCCAAGAAGCCAAACGTCATTCTCAGGGATACACACATACCTTTGGTTTGCCTAGCTAGAATCTTTCTTCTCAATACCACTCTAATGAAGTATTCAGAAACAAAGGGAAAATTAATATGGTAGCCAGCATCTCAATGACTTCTAGCAACAGGAAGGCTAAAAGCTCTCAACTCTGCCAATCAGAGTTCAAGCAGAATGAAAAGGATCCTAAGAAAAAGAACACTAAAATTTATTATGTGTAACACTGAACCGAATGGGTTGGCATGAATTTTAGATTTTACAAGTGGAGCTGATTAACACAGGGACTTAGTTATACAAATGCTGGGCATGGTGGTACACACCTTTAATCACTGCACTCTGGTGGCTCTGTAGACCAGAGGACCACATGCCTCTGCCTCACAAGTGCTGGGATTAAAGGTGTGTGTCACCACCACCCACGCACTGGCTGGTCTTGCCTATTACACGTGTTCTGTAAACATACATAGAAGTGTGATCATGGTAAAGTGAGTTTAGGAATGCCTGGCCTGTTAACCACCTCCTAGCACTAGTACTTTGCCATGACACATCTACCATCCTCAATGAAAAACCACCTCAACATACCTGACATGGGTCTTCGATACCCATTCTATTCCAGGAAAAGCCTCAGGAATTTTCGGTCACCTGAAAATTGAGAAATCAGGGATGAGTGTTTAGAAGAAGCTTTAAAGACATACAAAATAAAAGAGAGAGAGATCCTGCATGCAATTTACACATTACAGGAAAGAAACATGCAACTTCTTAGAAAATTCAAATAACATTGCACTGTGAATATCAATATGGTGTCTTGGGGGCTCATCCTTGTACATTTTAAAACAGCTGAGCAGAAAGCTTTACTCTGGGGTGCAGCAGGTCTTCTTATCTACAGTCATTGAAATTTTACAATGTGTCATTTAAGATGTCAGACTTTGTGCCCAAGTTACATTACAGTTCACTTGTGATGGGCAGGATTATTAAGAGTTATGGAGAATTTATGCGGCAGCATATGGTTTTTCTTTTTACAGCTATTTTTATTAAACAATTTTTGCAAAGTTTTAACATTAAAATTAACAACTAAAGAATTGTTTATGCAAGTTGCTGTCACAGTTTATATAAAAGAGAAATATGTGCTATTAAAATCAGACATTTAGGTTACCTTTGGTTTTTTGCGATGCATGTTAGCTTTACACATCCTGATTCTCTTGCGATAATTTTCCTTTAAAAAGGGGGGTATAGAGTGATCTCTTTTCATCAAAACAAGACATAATGCCCTGAAAGCTGACTTCAAACCATGGTTGAAAATTCAGTTATTTACACTTTATCACAATCTATAAATACATTTTTTTGTTGGTGTGTTTTAAAAAGAAAAAACAAAAATGCCCATCATGCACTGCTACAGGCAGCTTGGCACTTCACACAAGAGGATTTTTCACCCCCGAGCAGTTTATGCGGCTCTCAGGGAAAGAATGAGGTCCCTGGGAATGAAGAGTGGAAACAGGGCTAACCAATTCCGTTTTCTTACACATAGTCTTGTGGGATGGAATTCAGGACCAGCCTACCATGCCAGCTCCTGCCCCAAGCCAGCTGACCTGTTGTAACAGCATCTCTAGGATTGGAAGGGAAACCCTCAAGGGCATCCAGGTTTTTGCTGAATTGTGGTATCTGAACACAAGTAAAATCAATGTCTGAGTCCAGAGATTTGGTGTCATTCTTTAAGGCCACCTAAGGGTTCTTTTACAGAAGGTGCAAGCTAGGGTGGCTGGCACTTGAAGTACCTATACCTTCACATGAAAACCAATCTGTTTTAGTCAGTTGGGTTTTTCTCTCTAAAAATTAAATTTTTGATAGGATTGGATAAAACTGCTTTCAACAACTTCCAGGGGGTGAAAAAGCTTTGGTTCTTTTTAAACTAAAACTTAACAACTCATAAACTTTTTTTTGGTAAACTTAAAATAAAATCCCCACCACCACTTTTAAGAATGTCTCCAACTTTTAACAAGCCCATTAACTTTAGAGTTAATTTAAGTTTATGTGAAAGAGAAAACTATTTTATTGTCCACCCCCAAAAATGACAATTCATCACATTTACTTTGATTAAAAAAGGACTAAACTTTATTGACAAACTGCTGCAGACATTTTGACATAAGTTTAAGCTACCTATTTAGGCAGACTTACACATGTAGCATTTAATCTTCCGAGAACAAAATGGGAGGACGGTACAAATCCATTAGGACTTTAACTTATGTACAAAGTGGATTTTGATTCCTTTTTCATTCAGCTGCAGTGTCCCTTTTTATATCATGCTAGTGTTGAGACATACTTGACTACCTTGGGAACAGCTCAAAATTGACAATGGTCAATTCAATGAACATCATCAGCTTTTGGCCCCAGTGTCCAAGTGAGTTTTTCATGGAGTGCAGAAGCTCAGATGGACAAAATACTCTGACATTTTAAATACTGAAAATTTGACTATTAGTACTATTAATGAAAAGATTGTGGCTAAAAAGTACACCATCAAATTCCATTTAGGTGGCCAACTCCTCTCCCCCATCAACCTTATCCAAACCCTACCCACCCACCCCCCACTAAGTATCTCTCAACACTGTATGTCTGGGGCTAGATTTCAAAACCCACATAATGAAAAAGTCAGTTTTACAAACCTAATTTTGTTGTTGTTTTAAGTCAATTAACGTTAAAAATTGCATCAACTATTTAATTCATTAGGATCTTTCATATTAAAATTTAACCTTAAGATTCAACCGCCATGTGCTTTTAAAGGAAATGTTTTTAGAGACGTCTGAGCTCACTTTTACATGGTGGCACCTACTGCCGTTAACATTGTGATTTTACATCTTAAGCAGCCCTGAATTTTGAAATGTAGCCTAGTTTGGGATTCTGCAACTATGACTTTACGGGGTGCCTCAAATCAAAACTAAGAAAAAGTTAACAAGCCTTTACTTCAGAACCTTTAAGCAAGCAATGCCACTTTTGAAACTAACATGTTTGTGTTTTTTTTTACTCAACTTCTTTTTTATTATAAAAGGTACACTGTTTATATTTAAACAACAAAGAAAAAAAGCATCTACACACTTAAAAAATTAATTCAATATCCTAAATCTATTTTTAACTCATTTTAAAATACTACATACAGAAGCCAGAATGCAGAGTTAAGAATGGAGGAAGGTGGGGAAAAGAAAGGGACCACGAAGAAAAACACTTAGACAATTACTTGTCTGTTGTGGGTAAAGCAACAGGAATCCTGGGATACAAGAAATCAGTAACAACTTTGCTCATAACTGATATTTTCCCCTCCTGTTTGTTTTTAATAACGTCCATATGGGTGCTCTCTGTAGGATCCCTTCACTGGCCTAGCTGGGGGGGCCTTCAGTGATGGCCTGGTCCCATTCCAGTCATCTTGTCCTGTGGAAAAAGCAGAAACACTTTATAAAGCACGGGCCAATGTTTTTTCGGCATAACCAGGGTAGGTCAACATCAGACATGTATCACCAACAATACTGTTTTTCTTCCAGCATCTTGATACATTCCTGGTGTTCTTTGATCGCTTCTACTTGGCCCTCCTTGATCAGCATGGGTCATCTCCCATCATTTTGAGTAGAAGACAAAGGGAACAATTCAGAAAAGGCTAGCCTTTACTGTACAGTTCTCCTGAGCAGCAACATTCTCCATAAGCAACATAAATGGTACCCAGTTCCAAAACCTGGATAAATGCAACACACATTGCTTGAGGCAGTAAAGGAGTCATTAATCTCAGGGAGTCTGCAATGGCCATTCCAGTTCCCAAAGCCATTTGGCACTCGTCCTCAGTTAAGATGGCAAAACATCTGCAAGGCCAATTAAATGAGGACCTCCACCACAACATGGTACTCACACACTAGGGTTTGATAAAGTATAAAGAAATGCTGCATTATAAAACTGTAGAGAATTTCTTAGTTCTTTCTCAGGCTAACAGCCCTGACAAGCACTAACATTCTCAAAATGTTTTTCTTCATGACTTCTACAGATGACCTCTTATATTTATCCTTACCTTTGCCATACCAAATCATGACTACATGTAAATACTAGGTACCATTACCAAAGGTCTTACTTTTCTGTATGGATCAAAAATTACATAGAATTCTACCTATGCTCCTAGTACAATATACAAAGCCCATCCACTTTACAAGATGCTCCTGGGTACCAACAAAAAAGTGTGTTTCTAATTCTCTTTAGAAAGGAATCTATAAAAAAATACTGATCATGACAACATCATACCAGGAACACATGAATAATAGTCTGCCTCTTTATTTTTAGAGATACAGTCTTATTATGTATCTCATCTTAGGATAGACTTGAAGTCAGTATGTAGCTTAACCTGGCTTCAAACTTACAATTCTACTGCCTTAGTCTCAAGTACCTGGGATATAGTTAGTTTGCATTTTTTTTTTTTAAACCAGGATCTCATGTACCTCATGTTACTCTCAAATTTGGTATATCACGGACGATGACCTTGAGTTTCTGATGTTCCTGCCTCTATTTCCCATCTGCTACAATTACAGGCATGAGCCACCATGCTGGGTTTCAGCCTCTTTAGTTCAATCTTTTCCAACAAAATAGAAATGCAGTTTTGCCAAACACATATAGAAACTCTTGTACTGCCTCACTGATGGAGGGAAATACTGAGCCATAATCACCCCACCTTCTAAACAGTACACACAAGTGGAGTGCCGCAATGTTACTATGGCAACAGTGCAGTACTATTTAGTTAAAACTTGTAAAAACTGTTTTTTGGGGGATCAGGATCTGATTGGCTATGCTATATCATGCTAATGGGTTAAGCTTAGTGTCTTATGGGAGGACCCACTGGATTCCTTTTTCTAACTCTCTGTGGAGTATCTTAAGATGAACTGTTAGCAGCTAAGCCCCTTTGCAGGGAATTCCTCGGTGATGCAGAAGACCTCTGTTTATAAAGACTGCTCTCACTGCATACAAATATCCTCAGAGACCCATTAACACAAAGTCATTATTAGCTCTTAAGGACACAATTAAGCAATGTGTTTTCAACCAAACCTCAGGGAAGGCAGTCTGGGTTTTGCTACCTTCCCAGCCTGAACTGCTTTAATGGGATCAGTACCTGAGTTGCCTGGGGATGAAGCTCAGATGATAGAGGACTTGTCTAGCAAACAACAAGTCCATCACTAGCTACCACACAAAACCAGATGTGGTAACACATGCTGTAACCCCAGTAGAGAAATTAGAAAATCAAGGTGATCATCAGCCATATAATTCAGAGCAGGCTGAGGTAGGTGACATAAAATGAATAAAAATAAAAAATTTTTTAAAAATAAAAATTTTTAAAGAGTAAGAAATTTGACTTGATATGTCTTCCAAGTAGGAAGGAGCTTGGTGCTACTACTGATGTGACTTAGCTCCACCCCTGAAGCCTCTGATTTGATTCTAACAGGTACTATTTTTGCCTTCTAATCTGCTGTGATGAGCTGCTTTTAGCTGGCATTTTCTTTTGCACTACTATTATTTTCAGTAAGTTTTTTTTTTTCTTTTTTAAATGAGGGAGGGGTAGGACAGTAGAGCTAAACAAGTAAGTTCTTCTATCTCTCAACATGGCCAAGGCACCAGCAGCAAAAGGTCCAAAACCAGTGAAGCTAGATCTGAGCCCAAGGCATACAACACCATAAAATCAAAGAGCCAAACTTCCAGAGTTACATTTACCAATGCAGCAGGCTTCTACTGCTCCTTAGATGTGACTGCCTGACTCCCAAGAATCCATCAACCAGTATTTTTCCAGAAACTTACTTATACATTTTACCCCACCACAGATATAAAAACATACCATAAGCTTCATAAGAATCTTGAACCTCCCCATGTCCATAGTCATAATATTCTGACTCCCTGGAAAGCCAAAAACAGAATATTAAAAGGCTTTAGTTTTAGCATTCTTTCAATATTCCATATCTTCGGCACTTTATATCTATAAAATAGGGAGAGATGTTTTGTCCCATCCCTAACCACCCTAATAGTTACAAACAAAACATGTATAAACCATGTATTTACCAAAAAGTCTAACTATAGCAAGAAAAACAAACACATAGCAACAACAACCAATCCCCCCACCCCCGATATCATACAATTTAATATGGAGAACCACAATCTAAATCAGATTCTTACAATATTAATTATCATGTACATATTCATATAGCTCACTGGAAGAGAACAGGAAAAGGCCTGTTTTGTCACTATTATAGATATCTGAGATAGGCAAGATACATATACACACATACTCAAATATGTGTTTAAGAGAAATTAAAAACAAAACACCTAGGTTAAGTTTCTAGCTTGTTCTTAAAATTAAAGGCATCTCCAATGTGGGTGGGGTGAGTTGATTTGTCTGTAATGAGACAAAGCCTCCAGTATCCCAGGCTGTCCTTGAACTCATGATTCCATGCTGAGAACAAACTCAGGACTTCATGCACACTAGGCAGGCATTCTACCAACTGAGCGTGGTATTTCTTAATAAAAGAATTATTTAATGGTATTTTTCTCTTTGTTTCTACGTAGTCATTAGCTCAGGAATTTCTCATCAATTAGCCTCAAATCCTAAATTATTACATAAAACTCAGTTATCCAAATTTGCAGGCCCATATGCCTTTAAGTCATCAAAAACAGAGAAGATACCTTCAAAATGGTAAGTCAGATTACTCTGTAGGTTGGGGTTTGCCCAAATCTTTAGTTTCCCCAACTCCACCCATCTAGAACAATATACAGGACACTATTATTGCCTGACTCACCCTTGGCTCTGGCTGTAATAACCTTCATATCCTTCATAACTCTGTTCTGCATATGTATCATCATATCCCTGGAACAAATAAATTAGGTCAGAATTGCATGTAATAGAGAAGATAATTACAATCAATTGGGGGTCAGGTTGGGGGATCATGGGCTTCTGAATAAGCAGGCCATGAACATTTTCTCAAAATATTAATATCCGCTGTAGAAGAGCGAAGAAAGACAAAACAAAAATCAAATATAATATGATTCAGTATTATCAATAACAATCTCTTAGTAAAATTTTTATGTCAAACCACAACTTACTTCTTCTCATTTAACTTATACAGAGATGGTAATAATGCCTAAAATAGAAGAAAAATCATCTCATAGTTCAAAATCAACTGAACAGATTTCAAATCTTAAAGTAGTGTTTTTTACCTACACACAGGGATAAGACTCTTTGTCACTACTTTCCCTGACAACCTAGGAATGGAGGAAATGATGCATTGTTCAAAACATTCTTACATAGTCTTCGTATGTTTCTGGTGCAGGTGGTGGAGGTAAAGGTATTCTCTGGATGCCTGCTGTCCGAGCTCTTGGTGTTGGAGCACCCCTCACAGTGGGTGGGGGTGGCACGCCTCGAGTCACAGTGGCACCTCTGGTAATAGAGCCTCTCACTGGAGTTCCACGAACCAAAGCTCCTCGAGGTGGTCCAACACCACGACCTCTACAAAAACAAAATTTATATAAATTTCAGCTTTTAATAATCAAGCCATATTCATGCTCAGGGTTGTTCATACATTCTGGAGCTAGAAATATTTTATACTTTTCAACTACTTGCTCATTTATTTGAGGCAAGGTCTCCTAGAGCTGCTTTGGCTAATGTAGAACTCACACAAATCCACCTAGCAATGCCTCTACTGGGGTATGCACCAAACCTAGTTAATTTAAGTTTCTTAAAGGGAGGCTCTGTGGCTACACTTGGTAGATATAGGTCAGAGCCTATATCTCTTGCTTGGCCCCCGACCCCCCCCCTTTAATTTTTCGAGACAGGGCTTCTCTGTGTAACAGTCCTGCTGTCCTGGAACTCACTCTGTAGATCAGGCTGGTCTCGAACTCACAGATCCATGCCTGCCTCTGCCTCCCAAGTGCTAGAATTAAAGGTGTGCATCACCACTGCCCTTTCTTTTTACCTTTTTTTCCTTTTATTGAGATGGGGGTTCATATAACCCAGTACGGTCTTGAACTCACTATGTATCTGAGGATGACTTTGCACTTCTAGCTTTTACTTGCCAGGTACTGGAATTAAAACTGTGTGTCATCATACCCTGTTTGTGAAGTGCTAAGGATCAAACCCAGAGATTTGCGCATGCTAGGCAAGCATTCTATCAATGAGGTACATCTCTAACCCTAAAAGAGCATGGAACCCTAAAGCATGGAATAATATATATACACATGACAGGGTCTAAACCAGCAGACTCTCTGGGTTCAATAGTGGATCACAACACCTCAGGCAAGTCTAGGCTAATGAATATTGCATAAATGTTAAACTCAAAAGGTAAAATTCTACCGGGTGGCGGTGGAGCACACCTTTAACCCCAGCACTCGGGAAGCAAAGCCAGGTGGATCTCTGTGAGTTCGAGGCCAGCCTGGTCTACTAAGTAAGATCTAGGACAGCCGGGCGGTGGTGGCGCACGCCTTTAATCCCAGCACTCGGGAGGCAGAGGCAGGCGGATCTCTTGTGAGTTCGAGGCCAGCCTGGTCTACAGCGTGAGATCCAGGACAGGCTCCAAAGCTACACAGAGAAACCCTGTCTTGGAAAAAAAAAAAAAAAAAAAAAATCTAGGACAGGCACCAAAACCACATGGAGAAACCCTGTCTCAAAAAACCAAAAAAGGTAAAATTCTAAAGTCATACCAGATAGCCAGATTTGGTGCTTATGACTTTAGTTACAGAACCTAGAAGGTAGAAATAGGTGATCTCTTTTGAGTTTCAGACTGGTCTGGTCTATGTAGCAAGTTCCAGGTAAGTCAGGGCTATATAGTGAAAAAGACAACTAGGGGGCCAGTGTGATGCTTAGTGAGTAAACACACAGTTGAGCAAGCCTGACAACCTGAGTTCAATCCCTAAGACCCAGATGATAGGACTCACTGTCCTCTAACTTCCACACCCATATATGTATCCCCCAAACGCTCACAAATAAATAAATGCAACAAAACATTTTTTTTAATGCTAGGAGTGTCCAAAATTAGAAGCCCCTAAGTTTCAGTAGGACTGTATCACTTGTCTAAGGCCAAACTGCTAAGATCTAGAACTCTATACTTGATATACCATACAAACCTTGACTCTTCCTGAGCTAGACAGAGCAAAGGAGACTACCAGCAGTCAGATTTATGTTTCCTTTTCAATTATTTTTTACCTGGGAACGGGTGGAGGAGGAGGGGCGGCTCCTCGTCCTCTTACTGGTACCCCACGACCACGAGAGGGTTCAGGAACTCCATTCAAGTAGGACAATTCTAGAAACTGCTCCTGGCAGATATCATCCATCATATCCTGGGAATTAAAGGCAACAAAGAATGTGTAACTTCTCCTTCCAAAATTCACATGGCCCTGACACAGCCTTGAATCTTAAAAACAGCTTTGAAGCTGGGAAGAGTCCCAGCACTCTGGGAGGCAGAGACAAGATGATCTCTGTGAGATTGAGGCTACCCTGAACTACATAGTTTTGAGTCCTAGGACATCCAGAGACACATAGTGAGTCCCTGTCTCAAAATACCACCCCCAAAAAGAAGAGTCTTGAAATCCGAGGTGATGTCTCAAGTCAAGAAATTCATTCTCTGAAGTCAAATTATACCCTGTCACTTGAGGAAGGCCTTGTCAGCAGACCCTTACTAATAGATGAGGTTTTTCAGAAAGTAGTTCCTGCTTATCTCACCCTTGATCACTTCTTTTACATATATATGTGTATGTATATGTACGTATATGTATATTACATATAAACAAACCTTTCTCAAGTCAAGCCAAACAACCTACAGCTCACCGCCTGGAATATTCTCAGAAGTAGTCTTCATAACATACACTTTTCCTAGAATAACTGAAGCCACTACCATTAATGAAGCTCTATGTATTGGCTGCTACATAAGAAGCTCCGTATGGATTTTTCATTCAACTGTCAAAATGACCCTGCTAACCCTGCTCTAACCCTTCTAAGACACACTAAAAGGAGAGGGGTATAATTAGGGAATAAAAGGCATGCCTAGTGTACACACAAAGTCCTGAGAAATTCCTAATGCTGCCACAAAAGGGAGGAAGGGGAAGACCCTCTTGTTTGGTTGTTGCAAAACCACACCTCTTTCCCTAAAACATCATGTAGTTTTCACATAGACTGAGATTTTCAAGAGCCATTGTGTGTACATGGATGTAGACCCAGAGGTTCACTGTTTTCTCAATTGCTTCTCCACCTTATTGAAACAAGGTCTCTCTCTGAATCCAGAGCTCATTCACTCACTAGGCTATTCAGCAAGCCCCACAGATCTTCCTGTCTCCACAGCAAGCTTTCATGTTGGTGCTGGGGGAGCCAACCCAGATTCATAAGCTTGATCGCAAGTATTTTGTGAACTGAATTTATCTTCCCAACCTCAAGAGCCATTTCTGTACCTTTATAGCCAAGCACAATTTTACTATTTTACTATATATACTATGACTTAACATTTGGGGTGAACAAGAAGCCCATGGCTTAGAAAAGTGAAATTAAAAGTTACCCAAGAAAAGCCAGGCATGATAGCGCACGCTTTTAATCCCAGTGCTTGGGAGGCAGAGGCTGGCAGATCTGTGAGTTTGAAGCTAGCCTGGTCTACAGAGTGAGTTCTAGGATAGCCAGGGCTACACAGAGAAATCCTGTGTCAGAACCCCCCAACTCCCTCACGCAAAAAAAAAAAGAATGACACAGTCCCCCGAAACTCCGTACTTTCCTTGACCTTACATATCATTGCTACTTAAGACTAGATAGGGTCAAGTACTACCAATGCTCAGCTCATTGCTCAGGTATCTCCAACAGTCGCATCTGTCAATTAAGATAAATTTCAGAGCCGGGTTTAATCCCAGCATTTGGGACAGATCTTTGTGACTTCAAGGCCAGCCTGGTTTACAGAGTTCCAGGAGAGAAACTCTGTCGGGGGTGGGTGGGGGGTGGGGCAGGTGGGTAGTAATAAATTTCAGTCTACTCTAAAGTATTTAGTAAATATAGATGAAGTTTGTGGGGCTGGAGACATAGCTCAATTGGTAGAGTGCTTGCCTAACATACATGAACAAGGCCTAGGTTGGATCCCTAACACACAAAATCAAGTGTGGCAGTGCCTGGCTTTAATAATAGCAAATGAGGGGCATGAAGATCAGTGAATTCAAGGGTACCCTCAGCTACAAAGCAAATTTAAGGCCAGGCTGCACAGCATGCAAGGTTCTCAACAGAACAAATAAAAACCAGTGTTTGCTTAGACTGGAGTCCCATCCTCAAGATACCTTCTTATATATTTGGAAAAACTCCAAAATCTGGAGGGCAGGGAATTCTCAAACATTCTAGTACAGCTCAGATTACTGATACTTAACCTGTACTATAATCAGGTTAACACTATTACACACCATTTTCTAGGTATACTGGAAAACATCTTTAATCCCAGCACTTGGAAGGCAGAGGCAGGTGGATCTATGCAAGCTGGAAACCAGCCTGGTATACATACTGAGCTCCAGGCCAGGCAGGGATACTTAGTGAGACCTTGTCTCAAATAAACAATGATAGTCATACATATAACATATACGCCTTCTAAGCCAGACTCTGAATAAAAACTCCACCAGAAGAACCCTGCAGTGTGTCACATTAGAACACTGGATGCAATAAGCTTCCTGTTGTCAACTCTATTCAAGATTCTAGCACACAAATTCCTTAAGGGCAGATTTACCTTAAGTCCTTTTCCTGACACCATCTCCTGGTTCCACAGCAGTACCAAAATACTGAACTGAATGAAGACCTTATTAAATATTTGTTAAACAGATTGCCAACACCTCAGGAACCAAAATATTGACAAAAGATAATAGTAAGTATTAATGAGGCATTAAAAAAGTAGGCTTTGGAGTATAGTACCTAAAGAATGAGGTGTGAGTAGTGGGGAAACCTCAGAAAAATGAACAAAAGTATGGACCCTAGTCAAGAACCCTGGCCTTCTCAACAGTATGATCCTAGCTTCTTCCTTGTTCAGACAATAAAAAATATGCATATTTCCTTACTGGTACTAGAAATTTCTTTACTTCCTCCATGGCATGGGCCATAAGAGCATAAGCCTCACATGGGGGTCCAAAGACTTCAATGAAGACATGCAGATCCATATTTAAATGGGCATATTTGGGGTCTCCACCTTTGCGAAGCTCTTCCTCCTATTAAAAAAAAAAAAAAAGAGCAAAGAAATGTCAAATCATACATAGACTAAAAGAAAACAACACCTGTATCTCTAGGCCATAGGGAGAGCCAGAAATAACTTACTATGTAAAAGACCTGAACTCCTAAGGAAAGTAAAGCAAGTCCTAGAACCTGGAACTCATATCACCCAATAAAGTGTACTTGGTTAACTGTCCCTTAAACAGTGGAACATTCAATGCAGTGAATTTGAAGGAATGATATGTTAAAGCTTAATCTTAGAATCTGCTCAGATAATAGTAGTTTGCTGGGTATTTAGTGTATGTGTTTATGACCAACCAGTAGTTTTTAAACCCATTGGAGCTCTTTATCACCATCAGCCCTGCTTATGTGTTTTTATTGTCTAGGAGTTCAAGGAAAGAACAAAGCTAGAACAAAGAAGAAAATCTCTTACAAATCCCACCAACTAAAACAATATATGTCAGATTCATTCTGTGTATCTAGTGAGAAATGCTAAAGGACAAGAGAAAAAAAAAACTACCTAAAAGTTAGTTCCTCAGGCTGGAGAGATGGCTCAGTGGTTAATAGCACACACTAGCTGTTCTTTCAGAGGTCCTGAGTTCAATTCCCAGCAACCACATGGTGGCTCACAACCATCTATAATGGGATCTGATGCCTTCTTCTGGTGTGTGTATACATAACAAATAAAGAAATCTTAAAAAAAAAAAAAAAAAAAAAGTTAGGCCCTTAAAAAAAGTTTCTAGATTTTTAGCAGGCAAATCTTAGCTATAAAGCTGACCCTAGAAGGAAGACCATTATGTGTGGTAGGAAGCTTCTTGTCAACTAACAGTTCACTGTGCAAGGAACTGTAGAATGAAAAAGGAAAAAAACCTTAGGTGGGTTCTCTTTGTCAGGATAACTCATATTTACTCTTGGCACATTCCTGGTGGCTAGAAATCAAATTACCTAATCCCAAACTCACCAGCCCTTAATACCACTGGTCTCATTATTTCCTGTCCCTGGAAAACAGGGTGGGCTGCTCACACTTTTGTGTCTTTAGTCTGATTTAGTATACCCAGTTCTCATTTCAAGTTTTCAGAGGTAAGTTTACCAAAGCTAACAATGTTACTTAATTATATCATAATACAGCCAAAGAGGGGGAAGGGTTGGGCTGGAGAGATAGCACAGAGGTTAAGAGCACTGACTGTTCTTCCAGAGGTCCTGAGTTCAATTCTCAACACCTACATGGTGGCTCATAACTGTCTATATAACTATAGTCCTATGGGATCCGATGCCCTCATCTGATGTGCAGATATACATGCAGACCAAACATCCATATACATAAAATAAACAAATCTTTAAAAAAATCATTAAGACATGTCTAGGCTCCTCCCAACATTGCCAAATGAGTACTTACATGCAATGAAAACTTATAGCAGTCATATTTTATATGCCAGAGGGCACAGGATTAAAGATAGTGGTGAATGTCTTTAACCCCAGCACATGCGAGACAGAAGCAGGCAGATCTTTGAGACCAACCTGGTCTACACAGCAAGTTGCAGGCCAACCAGAGCTACATATTAGATACTGTGTCAACCCCTCCCAACCCATACACAAACTCCAAAATGTTTGCTTGCATAAAGCATCCATATCAGATACTGTTCAACTAGAAGGCACTAGGGTTTTATTTTGTCTCATGACTATGAACTTACCTTGGCTTTGTCTCTCATTGAACCCTTCCCCAAGACAGAGATCTTTGCACCAGTCTCCTCCTGAAGTCGTTTGATTGTATTTCCTTGTGGTCCAAGGATCTTCCCCACAAAATTGAACTGCAGAAAATTTAAAAAACAGAATTCTAAATGTACATACCTCTTTAAAAATTTAAACATATGTCATTTGATCTTCAACAACACTATAAAGAATCTTAATATATAAATATATATGAAATACCCATTTTACTCAAAATATATTGCAGCTGTATCAATTAGTGATTAGTTTTAAGTCATGTAACTAAGAGTACAGTTCCTAGACCTGAATTTGGACTTCCTGATAAAGTTCAGCACTCTTTCCATAACTTATTGCAATTCATAATAATGTATCGTAAACATTTTAACATGCAGAAAACTTTGTTTCTCTGTGTAGCCCTGGCTGTACTGGAACTCGCTTTGTCAACCTGGCTGGCCTCATACTCACAAAGATCTGCCTGCCTCTGCCTCCTGAGCGCTGGGATTAAGGCGTGCACCACCACTTCCCATCAACATGCATAAATTTTTATTAGTAATCAGACAAGACATTGTACATAAGCAAGCAGGTACTCTACTTCTGAGCCAGAACAAAACAAATGCTGTACCCCTTGGTAGCATGTATTGTAAGCTGAATATTAACTAACTACTTCCCTTTAAAAATGAGGAAGACAGCCGGGCGGTGGTGGCGCACGCCTTTAATCCCAGCACTCAGGAGGCAGAGCCAGGCGGATCCCTGTGAGTTCAAGGCCAGCCTGGTCTACAGAGCGAGTTCCAGGAAAGGTGCAAAGCTACACAGAGAAACCCTGTCTCGAAAAAACAAAAAAAAAAAAAAATGAGGAAGACTGGGTGGGAGATGGTGGTGCATGCCTTTAATCCCAGAGCTTCAAAGGCAGAGGCAGGCAGATCTCTGAGTTCGAGGGCAGCCTGGTCTACAGTTGAGTTCTGGGAAAGCCAGGACTACACAGTGAAACACTGTCTCAAAAAAACCAAAAAATTTAAAAAATAAAAATTAAAAAAAAAAAAAAGAGAACAAAGATGAAGCGTTTATTTTTAAATTTTATATTTATTAATTTTATGAGAAAGAGCAACCATGTGCACCAGTACACACAAGAGCGCCAGACAGCCACACTTCACACTGGTCAGGACAACTTGGGGAAGTTGGTTCTCTCCTATCGTGTGGGTTCCAGAAATCAAACTCAGGCCTTCAGGCTTGGTGGCAGGAACCTTTACCCACTGAATCATCTTGTGAGCCCAGAATACCACCTCCCCAAGACAGGGTTTCTCCGTAGCCCTGGCCGTCCTAGAACTTGTTCTATAGACTAGGCTGGCCTCTAAAAGTTCTATTTTATTTGATTTACAGTCTAAGTCAGGAGCAAAGAAATGGCTTGTGGTTAATATTATTTGTTGGATTCTGTTCCCAATTACCTACAGCCCCAGATCCAAGGGAATCTGATAACCTCTTCTGGCTTCCTCAAGCACAAAGCGCACACACATGGTATACATAGAACATACATGCAGGCACTTAGACATATACATAAAATAAGATAAAGATATATAAAGAAAAGTAAAAGGCTCAGAGGCAAAAACGTAGTTAAAGAGAAATGGGATGATTTAACTTAGAAAATCTGGCTAGAAACAAGCCAAGATAAGGAAGGCCAGGCATTCATAAGCAGATTAAGTCTCTGTGTAATTATTTGGGAGATGGGTGGTTGGCTCCCAAAGAGTAAAAAAAACCAACTCCAGTCAATCTTTTGACAAAGGGCAATGCTTTAAAGATCCAGAATTCTATTTTGGAGCTAGAGCCTGAACAAACACGAAAAAGAAATTACTTTTGATTACTAAAAGTAACTGTGCTTCCTTCTTGACTATAACTATGCTATTAGTTATGGACTTGGCTATTTTAACTTCCAGAAACAGGTACTTCAAACAGTGAAGCTTTACAGATGGATACATGGCCACTCCACGTCTTCATCTCAGCCAACACCACACCAACCCACACGGGTAACTCACGGAAGTAAGAAGCTTTTACACATACCTTTGGATACTGCTTCACAGGTATCAGCACCCGTTCTTTCAGCTTCATGTTCTTGTGAGAAAACAAATCCAAGTAATTCTCCTCATCATCTTTTTTTGACTCTCCTTTCTGAATCTTCTCAATTTCTGAATAAGAAAAACGGAACTTCATTTCTGCACTTTTAAATAAAGGCACCTGGCAAGACTGCTTAAAGCGGTATTATGGAGTACTGTGTAAAAAGGTAAACAGTTCAGAAGAATGTGCTAATTTTAGATAGACTGGGTAAGGCACCCAAAGCTGCAAGAGGCTGACTGTGGAACTGAATCCTACTTCCCACCCTCACCTGAAGTATCTACGCCATCCATTCACATGTTTCTTGACTTAAGAATATATGCATTGGCCAGGCATGGTGAGACACACCTTTAATCCCAACACTTAGGAGGCAGAGGCAAGTAGATCTCCGAGTTCAAGGCCAGTATGAGCTATAGAGCGAGTTCCAGGACAGCCAGGGCAACAGAGAAACTCGTTTCAAAACAAAACAAAAACCAAAAACAAACAAAACAGAAAACAATGAGAGTATATGCATTTACCTAAATTAATACAATGAGATGGGAAAAAGAGATATTAAAAAAAATAAAATAAAACAGGGGCTGGAGAGATGGCTCAGCAGTTAAGAGCACTGACTACTCTTCCAGAGGTTCTGAGTTCAATTCCCAGCAACTACATGGTAGCTCATAACTACCTGTAATGAAGTATACATAATAAATAAATAAACCTTAAAAAAATTAAAACAAATCAAAATCTCCAGCAAGAAAAAAATACAGAGGTGACTGAAGAGATGTCTCAGCTATTAGGGGCACACACTGCTCTTCCAGAAATCTTGAGCTCAGCACCCATGGCAGAATGACTCTTGACCGCCTCTAAATCGCCAAGGATCCAAAGCAGTCTTTTGGACTGCATGAGCACTGACACAAATAAAAAACTAAAGAAAAAAATTTTTACAAAGGCTGAGCACGGTAGCTGTTTCTAGCTAACTGACCATAACCAATCACAGATTCCTTTGTTCCTTCTCCAGTCCCACTGTTCCACTCTAGCTGAAAGTATCCCAATAAAGAAACAAAAATTACTATTTAAATATAACAAGGAACAGCTCTATTACCACCCCACTATAGCAATAATGTTTTTGTTTTCCAGTCCTTAAGAGTTTGAAAGACCTGCTTGTGCTCTGTCACATATTAGTTGTCAACTTAGACAAGTTATTTAGCTGCTCTGCATATTTGTTTTCTCATTTATCAAATACAGGCAAAATCAACCTATACAGACAGAGTAACAATGATGTGTGTGGTGTGCCTGCCAGGTGTCCCAGCAATCAGGAGCCAAGCAGGAGGATCACCAAAGTTTGAGGACAGCCTAGGATAAAAGAGATCTTTCCTAAAATAAGAAACAAAAGAAAATCAAAATCCAACCAACTAAAAAAACAAAAGACCGGGCTGGAGAGATGGCTCAGAGGTTAAGGGCACTGACTGCTCTTCCAGAGGTCCTGAGTTCAATTCCCAGCAACCACATGGTGGCTCACAGCCATCTGTAATAGGTCTGGTGCCCTCTTCTGGTCATACATGCTGTATACATAATAAATAAATCTTTAAAAAAAAAAAAAAAAAAACAAAAAAAAAAAACAAAAGACCATATACTCAAGATCAAAGTTTATTTCTTACTATGTGGTAGTAATACATAGTTATTATCTAGACGAAACTCAATATCCAAAACAAGAAAATACAAAAAAGTAATTTAAAAACAACAGGGAGGGCTAGAGTGATGGCTCTGTACTTAAGAGCACTTGCTGCTCTTTAGAGGACCGAACAGGTTCATTTCCCAGAACCCACATGGCAGTTCACAACCATCTGCTGTGGGATGGTCTGTATGTCAAATCTGTTGCTCTGATTCGTCAATAAATAAAACATTGCAAAAAAAATAAAATAAAAATTATAAATGAGCATAGCAAAAAAAAAAAAAAAAAAAAAAACTGACTGGCCAATGGCCAAGCAGGAAGTATAGGCGGGACAAACAGAGAGGAGAATTGAGAGAACAGGAAGGCGGAAGGAGACACTGCCAGCCACCGCCATGACAAGCAGCATGTGAAGATGCCGGTAAGCCACGAGCCACATGGCAAGGTATAGATTTATGGAAATGGATTAATTTAAGATATAAGAACTAGATAACAAGAAGCCTGCCACGGCCATACAGTTTGTAAGCAATATAAGTCTCTGTGTTTACTTTGTTGGGTCTGAGAGGCTGTGGGACTGGCGGGTGAGAGAGATTTGTCCTGACTGTGGGCCAGGCAGGAAAACTCAAGCTACAACCATCAGTAACTCCAGTTTGAGGAGATCCACTGCCCTCTTCTGGCCTCCTCGGCTAAATACATGCATGCAGGAAAAACGTTCATACACCTAAATTTAAAAGAAAAACTCTCAACTGAAGTCTGACTGAAACAAAAATGCTCTCCATAGTATATACGACAAAAAGTCTAGAGATAAACACACACCCCTAAAACCATAACCACCAAGGTCACAGACATAATCAGAGCGAAAGTACTTTGAATTTGCAGTTTCATCAAGATGGGAACTCTTGGGCTGGAGAGATGGCTCAGAGCTTAAGAGCACTGCTTGCTCTTCCAAAGGTCCTGAGTTCAATTCCCAGCAACCACATGGTGGCTCACAACCATCTGTAATGAGATCTGGTGCCCTCTTCTGGCCTGCAGGGATATGTGCAGACAGAACACTGTATACATACACACATACATAAATAAATAAATAAATCTTAAAACAAAAAAAAAAAGATGGGAACTCTTGACTGTCCTGTTACATCTCCCCTAAGTACAGGGCTCCTCTGCATTTCTTAATTACTGAGATGCAGTTAGGCCCTTCAGTTGTAGCTTATGCCAATTTAAAGAAACATTACTTAACCAATACAAGAAGACTCAAAAGCTGGACCACAAAACTGGTGGTAGGAAGATTTATTTATATGCAACGTAATGTACCCATAAACATAGGGCCTCCTTATGACACAGAATTACTTTGATGTATTTTGAATGAGTTACTGTATCTTAGAATCCTTTTCCCATTTTTCCAATTTTTAAAAGAACGTAAAGCATTTTAGAGAATAATGATCAATAAAATAAAACTTCAAGTTGAATTAGGGCTGGGGAGATGTCTTAGCTGCACAAAGCTAATGATATGAATTCAACCACCCCCCCCCCCCCACATACACACACCTGGTTGAGGTGGCATGTGCCTGTAATCACAGCTCTGAGGATGTGGGGACAGGAGGATCCCTGGGCCTGCTGACCACCAGTCTAAATTAGTGAGCTCCAGGTTCAGTGAGAGACTATATTAAGATATAAGGTAGCAAGTAAAATAAATAACAAGATAAAGCACTGAGGAAGACACAAGACATTGACCTGGTTCCATACATACATACAAAGGAGTCAAAAGCCTAGAAAGCAAGAGTAATAACCTAACCCTTCAACAAGGATCAGCATCTATATTTAGAAGTAGAAGAACTAAATACTGTAACAAGTATTACTTCATTTTCCCTCAAAAACAACTCAGAGTTGCTGGTATATATCCCCATCTTATAAATGAGTTATTGGAAACTAAGTTAATTACTTCTAGGTCACAAAGCTGCTAAAGTATCAGCAAACAGACTAAAACCTAGGCTTGGGGCTGGAGATACAGCTCAGTGGTTAAGAGCATTCAGTGCTCTTGTATATAGGACACTGGTTCAGCTCCTAGTACTCACATAGCAGCTCACAACCACCCAGATGCTCTCTTTTGGCCTTCATCCCAGCACTTGGGAGGCAGAGGCAGGTAGATTTCTGTGAATTCAAGGCCAGCCTGGTCTACAGGGTGAGTTCCAGGACAGCTAAGGCTACACAGAGAAACCCTGTCTCAAAAAAACAAAAAACAAAAACCAACAACCAACAAACAAAACAGGAATCTCACATTCTTCCTGTGTTCTCTTAGTAGAGGACACTTTAAGCAATGACGATTTAACTTTATAAAAATTTTACAAACTACAATTTTTGCCTGGTGTGGTGGCACAAACCTTTAATCCCAGCACTCAGGAAGCAGAGGCAGGTGGTCTATAGAAAAGAGTTCCAGGCCAGCTATACATACAGTGAGACCCTATTTTTTGCCCCTCCCACAAAGAAAAGAATTTGAAAAGGCTTACCCTAAACCAAATATGGTAGCACATGCCTGTGATCCCAGCACTCAAGAGGACTTGTATGAGTTCAAAGCCAGCCTGAGTTACATCAAGAACTTGTCTTGAAAAGAAAAGAGCAAAGAAAAGAAAGAACAACAACTAAAAAGATGTCTTACCCTCAGGCAAAAGCACTTTCTAGACAACATTTCTAAAAATGACTCCCTCAAATGAAGTTTGCCTGGGCCTCTGGAGACCCTGGATGTCCCAAGAGCCAAAGAAAGAAAAGCTAAGGGATAAACAACACAGAGATGTGACCCATCTGTTTGTTGGCCTGGCAATCATAATTTATACCTTATCCAGTGTCTTTGATGTGTCAGGAGTTTTGGATTACTCATTATAACCAACACTATCCCCATTTAATGGGCAAAGAAACTGAATTCAGAAGTTATGAAATTTGTCGCCAAACTAGTGACAGAACACTTGCAACAAGTCACTGTTTTGCAATAGCAGACTGAATTAAACATATGGCATTTTTTAAACTTTTATACATTTTTCTCCCTTTTATCCCCCTGTAAGCATCCAAAAATTAGGATTATTTAATGTATCTCAGAGCGGAAGAACAGGGTTTTGATTGTTTATTTAAAGAGAATTTCAACTTCCAGAGGACAAGGATTATAGATGTGCATAATCATGCATGCATACCGAGCTAGAACATTCATTTTGAGGGATAGACAAAACTGAGTTGAATATTAGCTCTGCTACATCTATAAAGTGTGACCCTACTTTTGAAATAGAATAAACCAAACATATGCTATGTGGATCCATGCCTTTATAACCCAGGCACTTGGGAAGCAGAAGGATCAGAAGTTCAAGGCCAGCCTGGCTTATGAGATCCTGTTTCAAATTACACCCCCCAAAACAAAAGAAGATAAAAAAGAAACAA